GAAAATACTTATTTGATGCATGAAAAAAATATTTTGTTTTGAGCCATGACTTAGAGAAGTTGAATGAGCTTGTTACAATAAAAATCTAAGTATTTAGACAACATCTTCAAAACGCCAATGTCGTCGTTTTTAGAAACGTCAATGCCTCTCTTGTGCCTTTTGTTCCTTCAAAGAGCTTTTGCTATGACTTTGAATCTTTTCATTTTGTACCATGTTCCCGACAATTTGTCAATATCAAAACTTAAACGGAAACAAGCATTGTCATTAACAAAACATCAATATGAAAATGCTTTTTAACAATTTCTCTCTTTTTGATAATGACAAACCAAGGCGGGGATATGCAGGCCAAGTTGGGTTTTCAAAGAGATGGTAACGGTAATTCCCCCTACGTCTTTGAAAATAAGATCCCCCTCACTTGTTGCATGTACCCAAACACTTTCCCTCTTTTGGTATTAGCAAAAAGCACTAAATAAAGTTTAAAAAGTGTACTCCCTAAGCATTGATGTTTAATACAAAACATCATTGTTGTATGTTCCCCCTGAAACTGATACCGTGTTTATAGCAAAAATAATTCCCCCCAAACTCTTCTTGGTGCAATTTATTACGTTTCGTGCTTGGAGCATCCACTACAAAAATGTAGTCTTCAAACATACCTACATATGCATCTAAAAATAATTTTTAGATACCCAAAGACTTTTGAGTTCTTGAGGGTTAGGCAAATAATAATAATAGCTATAAAACAAATCTTTGTGTTTGGTAAAACAAACGGGTGTTATGTGTCCTATCTTAGAGCAATAATGGAAAACTACGTTTGGATTATGCATATGCCTAGGTTGGGCCAAAAAACTTCTTCTTCTTCTCCTTGCGTTTTGGGCAATATGGCTTTATGTGGCCAAGTTCTCCACAACCAAAGCACATTGGAACGGATTTCCTGTTCTTTTACAATCTCGAGACCCAAGTTCTTCCTTAAAAAACTCTTGAAACTTCTCGAGAATGTTATATGAACCGCTATCGGAGTCACTTACTTATCAAGTTATATGAACTTCTCGAATCATTTATCGTCACCGCTATCGGAGTCACTTACCTCTACCCTTTTTGAGGATGAGGCTTTGAGAGTGAGACCAGGACTCTTGTCAAGAGAAAGTTTAAGAATAGTGGATTTATAAGTTTTAAGATTACCTCGAAGACTATCGATGGTGATGTTGGTGTTACCAATCGACTCAGGTGGTGACTGAGGTGGTGGTGATCATGACAGTAGTTTGATAATGGAAATGACAATTTGTCAGGATAGTGGCTATGAGGTGGTAGGATTGGAAGTATGGTGGGGGTGGCAGTGTGGTGGTGGTGATGATGATGGTAGTGGTGGCGGTGATGATGATAGTGTGGCGGCAGGGAGACAGTGCGGTGGGGGAGAAAGTGTGGTGGTGAAAGATTGTAGTGCAGCAAGGATGCTAATGTTGTTCATAATAGTGTGATTGCAGCGGGCATGTTGATGGTGGCAATGTAGCGGGGGTTGCATTGGTGGTGGTAGTGTGGTGGTGATGGTGGCAATTGTGACAGTGTGGAGACGGGAAGTGGCAGTGTAACAGCGTAGGAGATAGTGTGAAGGCTGTGTAGTGTGGCGGCGTGTGGTGGTGGTTGGGGCAGTGTGGTGACGGTGGTGGTGGGGGAGGCATGCAGTGTGGCGAGGGGGGGGGGGGAGGTTGTGGTGGCGGCAAGGGAGGTAGTGTGGCGGAAAGAGAAAACAATGTGGTAATCCAAATTAATATAATCTTAGGAATTAATAAAAAGGGTAGAATGAGTGTTTTAATGATAATGTCACTCTAGATACTCTTATTGATGTCAAAAATATCAAAGCAGTGCTAGATATATAATTTTAGTTAAGAACATAATAGTTGTAATAATAATATTAACAATCACATTAAAAACATATCATTTTTAGAACAATTGATTGGGGAGTAGAAATAGTTAGAAAAAATTAGAATGAACTTGAAGAAACTGTAAAGAACTAAAACTAGAAAAAACTTAAGAAACTGGAAGGAATTGGAAGAAACAGAAAGTTAAGAGTTTAAGCCCTAAAGAACCAATTTTTAATTAATTTTACTTTTGCTCCATTTGCCTTACAAAAGTGTTTTTAAAACTTTATCCCTCCATTTACAAATTTTTTTGCCGGTGTTTAATTGGAATTATTTTAATTCATTTTACATGATGATTAATTGGTATGAAATTAATAAATTAAAAGTATTAGATAAAAAATAAAAAGTACTTCGTATATATTTCAAAATTAAATAAAAAAGGTCTGCAAAATTAGAGATGGAATGACTATATTATTTTATTATATTGTTTTATCAAATGAGAAACACAAAAAAAAATGAATAAAGTTTGACGATGTAGACGAATGAGACAATTTTTGTCATTTTATGTATCTCAACAAACAAAATCTGTCTAACATTCCTCTTATAGTTTTCAAATAAAAAAGTTATTATGGAGTTTGACTTGAATTTCCAGAGAAAGAAATAGTGAATGTTTTTGTGTTTATAAGTCAGTCAAAATTGTTTATATGCAATTTTTAAGTTATAAGTCAACTAATGATATATTTCTGTGTGCTTATAAGTTGCTTGTAAGTTAGAAAAAATAAGTAGGTTTTAGCTACTTATTTTTAAGGAAGATGAACCAAAATAGGAGTAAAAGAGATGCCATATGCCAAAATAGGAGTTAAAACTTAAACTCTCCTGAATAGGAGTAATTAACTTAACAAGACCTCCCCTAGTATCCATCAAGAATATCATATCTTCTTTTCGAACGCCTTCCATTAAATAAATTATTTAATCTTCATATTTTAGCCCAATTTCTTGGTCTGAACCAAAACCCACCCGGAATTTTTTAAATCATTTCTTTTGATTTTTTTAATTTCCCAACAAGGAATAGCAAAGTTGCTTCCTTTATTTCCCCCTCACCATCGCTACAGTAAAGAATACGCTTTATATAAAGTATCATCGAAGCCATAATACCAACAATTACAATCCATAATGCCAACCATAATACTGAATAAGTACAAATATGCCACTATATAAGGTAAAAAAGAAAGCAAAGTGCCAAACATGACACCGACTAAGCACAAATATGCTAGTGTAGAATTTCAAAAAGAAAGAAATACACAAAGAAGTAATTTGATAGTGAATTAATTACAAATTTACAAATTTGATTCTCGGAGTGTGTGATGGCTAATACGCTTGTATTCAGAGATGACAAGAGATAATTTTGGATATTCATGACTGCTTTAAATATTATATATAGTCACTCCAAAAAAAATTATACATCGAACAATAAAAAGTAAAGCCTCCGAAATGAAAAGGCTGCGTTAGATTGGGGCATCGGATAAAGTAGGATCCGGAAGGTTCAATATTGACCCCACATGTAATGCTCCTCGCTCAATCAAATAACAATCGCCGGAAAGGTGTTCCCTCACTCATACTTTTCATCATAAAGGTCTAATTTGATTTGTGTGGCCAAGAACAAAAAAAAAATTGCTAATTACTCATATTCAGGGTTTTTTTATGTTTGAACTCCTACTTTGAAGATATAACACATGTTTTACTCCTATTTAAGAGGTTTACTTTATTTTTAAGTTACTTTTTTCGTTTATCTGTTTTGACGAGATTATTTACAAAATTGTTCCTCACCATTTATGAATATTTATCAATGATTTATCTATCATTTAAGTTATTTTTACTTACACAAAAGAATATTTGAATTATAAGCAGCTTATAAGTTAAAAACTATTTATCAGCAATAAATCAAAACACACCCCCATAATTAAGCCCATATACATGAATAGTTAATTTGAAATATCTCCTCTATATAAAAACTTAATGTAAATGTGAAAAATTAAAATTTTAATAATGATAAATTTATGTTTAAGTTTTTTGAATGTTATTGATTATTAGAATATAATATCTGTTCATACATTTCTTAACCTAATGACAGATAAAGAGTGTATGAAATAAAATGATTAATGGAAAGAAATAAATTTAATGTTGAGTTATGATATAATGAATTAGCTATATTATAAAGAATTAGTGAAAAATTATATGATATCATGACTCACTATTTTTACACTAAAAACTATGGTACCGTGAGCTACTATTTTTACATTAGCATTTTCTAATATTATACTTTCTACAAATAGACATGAGAGATTTTGAATAACAATGTAACACCCCGCCTTCACCCTGGTCGAAAGTGTATATATATATATATATATATATATATATATATATATATATATATATATAAAAGATTATAGACTGGTCAAACAAACCAGTACAAGTCTTTTCTTCATACTTTTTTCTTAACTCATGCGTGCCTAGAGAATTGAACTTCCTAGAGAGTCACTCATTCAAGAATTGTTCGAAGTCTAGAATGTTTAATATTAGAAAATGCTAATGTAAAAATGGTAGCTCACGATACCATAGTTTTTAGCGTAAAAAAAGTGAGTGACGACACCGTATTATTTTTTTATATATAATATAGCTAATTCATTATATCATAAGCCAACATTAAATTTATTTCTTTTAGACTACTTTATTTTTAGACTAACTTATTTTTTTATTGATATTTACAAATAGTAAGTTTGTGAAACTTGTGATCATTTTGTTTGTAAATCAACCATTTCTTTTATTCTATAATGGGCATTTAAAATGGATGTTAACAAAATCTATGAACTTTGTAACATTTAAAACAAATCTAAGAACTTTTTAAAATTTAGACTAATCTTGATGGTAAGATATACTCGCATTAAAATCTATCAATGAATTTAGAGAGAGCCTGAATTGAATATACCTCATTAATTTCATTTTTTTTATCCTAAACACTTTTTCATTTATTTCTTCCAAACTTTTAAATCTACTCGGTATTTTATTTTTCAGATTCTAAAACTCATATACTCCGTATTATATTAGGAAGTAGTGTCTTGAGAACTCACCTAGCATATTGGGAGAGCTACAAATATTTCGGGCTTTCTTTTCTGGAGTGTTTTTAAGAACCTGATTTTTGTTTTGTACTGTTTGTTGTTTTTTTCCCTCCTGCCGGAAACCACCGTGTTCCTCCGCTCTACCACCAGCTTGGAAAGAATTTCCGCTGCCTTCAAAGTCAAAAGTAGCACCCACCCTTCTCAGCTCTAATACCCCATTAATTTCTTTACTTCTCTTCTGTATTTACACTCCAGAAATTCTTCATCTTCCCGCATTTCTCGATCGATCGATTCGAGGAAGAAGATGAAGAACAGAGGCAGATTAGTAGGAGGCCGATGGCGGAGCCTAGGGTTTCCCTTCGTCTTCCTCTTGTGCCTCTTCTTCTTCCTCGCCGGTTTCTTCGGGTCCACCCTCTTCTCTCACAAGGTATCTGCTCGGTTCATTCCTTTATATGTGTCGATTGTTGTGTGTTTATGCGATGATCGAAGCTTTTTTTTGTCTGTCTTGAAAAGGATGAAGGAATTCTAAGGCGAAGGCCTAGGATGCTGGGGGAGTTGGTGGAGGGTTTCGATTTGCTGCCCCACGGAGAGACTGGGGAGGATTCTCTTTCTCTGATCCCCTATCAGGTCTGTGTTTGGGCATCTTTTTTTGTGCACTGTTTTAATAGATTGAACACATTTTAAGCTAGCTGGTGACTGCCAGTTATAATTGATAAGTTAGCTTCTTCATGCAGTGTTTAGTGGATTTTGGCTTTCTTGAAAGCTAGTCTTACAGATTCAAGATTTATATGGTTCAAATCACAGTTAGATTAGAGAGGATGGATTAAAGAGGGGTAGAATTAATATTTTGATCTGTGTTGCCCGACTCTAGGAGGCCATTGGTACGATAGAAAAAGTTACTTTCTCAATTCAATGAAACTGAGTAGTCATTGGGAGGTGGGAGTCAGATTGACAGAATCTACTCGAGAGTGGAAAGTGATTCAATGGAAAGTAATTTCCGCGGAGAGAGTCAAACGTGGCCATAAAGATTCGATTTGATTGAGTAGTTGATCAAGCACAATACCTTATATTTTCATACTCTTATTTGTCCATCATTAATATTTCCATGTTGTTTCTAAAGAAGCTTAAAATTTCCACCTTAAAAATATACTTATTGAAGTATGGAACTGTATTTTATCAACTGTAAAGTCACCAATATTTGTCACACAGCTTAACCATAATTCAGCATGGTGACTATTTACAAGAAAAAAATGTGATTCTATGTATGATTACAATTTACAACGATGATAACCCTGGTGAGTTTAAAATTTATGTATTGTACATTTTCTGCAAATGTCTCTGATTGTACCCTCCAATATAACCCTCCACAAGCAATTGATAGGTAGTTAGATTCAAAATGAGATGGAATTGCCTATCCATCGTGAAGTAACTTTTTTCATGCCAAATTCGTGGTTGACGCTACTTTCTTCCAATTTTTTTCTTCTTTCGTTGGTAGGTTTTAAGCTGGTATCCTCGTGCATTATACTTTCCCAATTTTGCAACTGCAGAGCAATGTGAAAGTATTATTGAAATGGCAAAGGCACAACTTCAGCCTTCATCTTTAGCTCTTCGTAAAGGAGAAACCTTAGACAGTACCAAGGGGATAAGGACAAGGTGAATTATGTTCATTGGATCAAAGTAAAGTTTTCTATAGATACAGATTTTGAAGATTATGATCCTAAAATACTATAAATTTTGCCAAGTTCTTTTTCCCTTTCAAGATTGACCGAAGTGATGGATCTTGGGGGTGTTCTTTGATTTTTTAGTGATGATTCGAAGGCACAAACACATTTGCATAATATTTTCATTTTCCTTCAGTTCTGGCATGTTTGTAAGTGCATCCGAAGACAAAACCAGAACTTTGTATCTAATAGAGGAGAAAATTGCCAAGGTGACCATGATCCCGAGGTCTCATGGAGAGGTAAAAACTTACCAACGTCTAATAACATTGTGAGAATTTTAATTCATTGCAATGACTTATGAGTAAAGAGACCAGTGGATGCAAGCTTGTGGCATATGTTTACTACTAGATGTTTATAATAGATTTCAGTACGAACGGGAATCACTTTGTTTCAGGCGTTTAATGTCTTGCGCTATGAAGTTGACCAAAGCTATCATTCTCATTATGATGCATTCAGTCCCTCTGAGTATGGCCCACAGAAGAGCCAAAGGGTATGCACAACACGAAGCTTTTCTTCTCCGATTACTTTTCCGGTGCCTAACACTTATCATTATATATAGACATGTGTGTGAGTGTCTTTGGCATGTTTGTTTTACATTTGTTTCCTAAACTGTGGCTGCATACTAAAACTAAGTGCTTGAGTACCAATTTTAGTATTTTGCCGTGTGGTCTTGACTTTTAAAAGAGTTCCACATTTCGGGCCAATAACCAGGGATTTGGTTAAAATCCGGTGGAGGGTATGGGAGATACTTTGACCAGAACCTTGACATGGTTAGGTCAAAGTGGGATTAATTTGTTAAAGTTAAGAATGGGATTTGATGAAAAATTTGATACACAAATTTGATACCTTCATAGTAGACGCAATTTTTATTGACCTTTTCAGGTTGCTTCATTCTTGTTGTACCTTTCTAATGTTGAGGAAGGCGGAGAAACAATGTTTCCTTTTGAGGTAATAATAATAAGAGTAATTTCTCTAAATAACCCTTTATAACAAGGGGTTTTCCAATATAGTCCTCTATTCCAAATTATTATGTGAGAGCTATTCCATTATAAGTCATGTGTGTACTTCATGTGGAAAAAATATTCTCTTTGTGGTCCTCTATATTTGGAATCTTTCATCTAAAAGACTAGTTATGGAATAGTTCCAAATGAATAGGACCATAAAAATAATAATTTGGAATAGAGGACTATATTGGGAAACTCCCTTGTTATGAAAGACTGTTTTGAGAATTTACTCTAATAATAATAATAGTAAAAACCACACTTGTTATTTTTTTTCCTCCAAATGTTTGTGTTATTGAAAAGTGTGGTGACTTTGTTCATATACACACAGTATGGACAGAATATGGATGGTAAATATGATTTCCGCAAGTGCGTAGGCTTAAAAGTGAAGCCCCGCAAAGGCGATGGCCTTCTTTTCTACTCACTTTTGCCGAACGGTACGATCGATCCGGTGAGTTCTTAATTTTGCTGTAGAACATTTTTTCCCCACTTTTTAGAATGTTATTTTCTTGTCTCACACTTCATAGTGTGGAAGAGGGATATGTAAACACATTTTGAAAAAAATGATTGCTTTTGGGGATAAGTGGATAATGGATAAATATTATGAGTCAAAACGTTCTTTTTTTCTTTCTAATTTGCTTATAATTTTAAAAAATTGCTCTCGTTAGATAAATTATTGAGTTGGGGTCTCTTGGAAGCAATCTCTCCCCTTTTGAGTATGGGGGATAAAGGTTGGGTACAACTGTACACACGCCCTCTCGTTAGATGACCTAGTTTAAAAAACTACGACAACAACAACGACCCAATTGGATCCCACGAAAGTAGGATCTGGGGAGGGTGTGTGTACCATTCTTTGGTCCCTTTTTTGTGTGTTTGGTAAGAAATAAGATGTGATGCAAGGTCCTCAAAACCTTTTTAATTGTTTTCTTTCCAAATTCATCAATTTCAGACCTCACTTCATGGGAGTTGTCCAGTGATCAGAGGAGTAAAATGGGTGGCAACAAAGTGGATCAGGGATCAAGAACAAGAAGATGATGAAGACTGAATATATATATATATATATATATATATATATCTATATATATATATATATATATATATATATATATATATATATATATATATATATATATATATATATATATATATATGCATGCCTGCCTCTTCTACACACCAAACTTGACCTACTCTGTATAATTTGAGCACATGTTTTTCTGCACTTTTTATACTCGAATCTATTATACGACCCGTACTCTAATAAAGTTGACAAATAAGTTTGGCAGAGTTAAAAAAGAGAGGACAAAAATTGAAAGGTGTATGAATTTGTTTAGACGAAAGAGATATATTGTGTATATAGAACAAAGTATGTGAATTTGCACTGACCTCCCAAAAGTGTCCTTTTTGATAAAGGAACTCGTGAGATTTGAAGAAATCTAATGCTTCCCTCCTTTTATGCCACTTGAATTGCAAGGATTTCTATAATAAGAACACAAGCATTTACTCATAATCACTTTTTGGTAGTGTTATGTTCAACTTATTTTTTCTACTTATTATTTATTATTATTATAATCAGATCAGACCAGAAATAACTTTATTTATAACTACAATCAGACCAGATTAAATCTTCAAAAAATCAAATCAGGTGTAGTCTATCCCAAATCAACAAAAAATGGAGGAAGATGCCCCTCTTTAACAATGAATGTAGCTCCTTTGTTGTATAACCACCATTTAGGGCCTGTTCCTTAGGACTGGAAAGAAAGAGCTGGGTGTTGGAAGAAACTGGAAGAACTGGATGAAACTTGAAGAAACTCTGGAAGAAATTGGAAAAACTGAAAAAAAATTAAAAGAAACTAAAAAAACTATAAAAATTAAAAAATCTTTAAAAAGTTTTAAAAAAAATTATGTGTGTTTTATATTATTCTCATTCTGATTCTTGTTGTTATAAATTATTATTATTATTATTATTGTTGTTGTTGTTGTTGTTGGTGGTGGTGGTGGTGTTATTACGTTATCTTAATGATTGTCTTTAAGATAAAAAAATATTACGAGTATTATTTTTCATATATAAAAAGCTAGTTTAAAAAAATAATTAGAATATAAAATTAGCATAAATATTACACTTCTTGGGTCATTTTTTCTTTTCCAAAATGTAGTTTTCTCTTGATTTTCATAATATTATTCTTCCAAGCCTTAAATGTAATTACCTTATATAAATTTAGATTAAAAAATATTCTACGTAACTATTTATCCATAATTTTTTAAATAGTTTCCTAATTTTTCATGTAGATTAATATACAAAAAACGGTATTATTCATATTAAAAAGTTGAAGAAACTGGAAGAATGAATATGAATCATAAAAATAGTGAGATGAAAAAATGAAATAATTTGTAAACTATAGTTATGAACATAAAAGTTGTAATTAAAAAAAGTTATAATAATATTATATTTTTTTAGAGTGATTTGTCAGAAAGTAGAAAAAATTTGAATAAAAATAAATATAGTTGGAAGAAATTAGAAAAAACTGGAAAAAACTGGAAGTTAAGGGAAGAAATTGGAAGAAACTGGAGGAACTGGAAGAAACTGGAAAGAACTGGAAGAAACTAGAAGTTAAGAGTTCAAGCTCTAAAGAACAGGCCCTTAGTCTTCATAATGACTCTCAATGCAGCACACATATATGTATGTGATGAGGATATGGGCCGCGCTCCCCGGGCCCATATAGTTGGGCTCAAGCTGCCTAAGACGGAGGCCCAAAGACAAAAGAAGAAGGGACTGCAAATAGTATTGCCATGTGTGCTACTCATTCTGAGGAAATAATGACGTGCGTAGTAGTGTACTCCGTCCGTCCACAAATAAGCACGTAGCGGTCCATGGGTTGTGGCGTGTGCCTGAGCCTTACCACGTGGCATTGTGCCTTAGCCCATTATGTTGAAATTTATGAATATGCCTCGCCGCCCTGAGGGATCAAATTCTAAGCATTCTATTACTCCCCCCGTCCCAAATTATTTGCAACGTTTGCTTTTTCAGCAGTCGCGGGAATTTTTGTTTATTTCTACGTTTTCATTGGTTATTTGATAAAATAAAATATTCTTGACACCTCTTGTTTCGAAGAACTTTTCATGTATTTTTTCTATATGTAAATTTTATTTTTTATTTCTATACCAATATGTAAATAAAATAAATTGAAAAAACTTGATATTTTGCCTTGAAAATACAAATGTGACAAATATTTATGGACGGAGGGAGTATTATTATTATAGCCCATTTGGTGAGTGGAAAAGATGGTTCTCATATCTTCCCGTACTAGAACTTTTTTTTAGGTATTTGGTGAAATATAAATTTGATATATCTACATATCACAATTCTTCTCATTAGCCACACATTTTGTTGGAAGTTTAGGACGGAGTTGAGGTGGGGGTGCATTGGGAGGGAGTAGGGTAGGGGGTTTAGGAAAGGTAAGAACTGAGCATCCCCACCCCATCGAAATTTGATACTGCTTTCACAGGTGGATCATCCTCCACTCTCACCACCAGCTATCTTCATTTAAAACTATAGTCATTGGTTCAAAGTTCAAATTTTAAAAATAATTTTATTTCTTATTTCTGACCTGCATCTCGTCTGGTTGAAAGAAAGTTTCCGCTGACCTATGGATTCGGACTCTGCATCTTCTCTTTCCAGCACGTACAGTCTCTTTCATGAAAAACCTCAAGGGGATTTAGGGTTAGGGTTCCTCAGAGCCCCAGAAAAACCTATCTCTAGACCACCTTCTTCCCAAGAAGTCATTTCCTCGCAGGTATTACTTTGCTTTTGGTCTATACACTTACTCATTGCCATGTTATCCCTTCTTCTTCTTCTTTTTCTTTCTCATGTTTCGGGTTTTGAATCAAATTCGTATTTTCTATGTTATGTAGGCTTCACCCAATGCTAACTTTAAAGCGGAGCCGCTGAATGTGGATGGATGTACTTTGCTAAAGGTAATTGAGTATTTCTGTGAGAGTGATTGGAATTTTGTAGTATTTTCTCAAATTGAAAGAATTTAGAAAAAAAGCTAGGTGTACCCCAAAGACACATTGTCTAGGCAGACAATGGTTGTTGTCTGTGATATACTGGTGTGCAAGTTGGGGTACAATGTTTGGGGTACCCCTAGCACACCTTTGTATCCTCAAGAACTTATTACTTGCTCGAGTAGTTTTTAGGAGGAAGTTCAACTGACAGTTTAGATTTTTTTAAAGGGAAGAGTGAGCACAAAGGATGTCTTTGGGATGTCCGATTCAGATTTAGTCCCAGGGAAGTATGAAGGTTGGTAAGAATTGAATCGACTTCTTGGTTCTTACATACAAATAAAATGAGCACAACACATTGTATCAAGAAGAATGTTGTGGTGGCACACCAGGTTTGGCACCAAGTGTTTCATAGATATGTACAGTCAATCATTGTTGTGCATGCGTGTGAAACTTGGTGCCAAACCTGAGGGGCTTATGGAGTTTGCTTCTGGCTTATTTACCGTTTAGGAAGGGGTAAGGCCTGCAAACGGATCCTTGAGGCCCCACTTGTGGGATTTTAGTTGGAAGGTTGTTTGTGTTTGTGCGTCAGTGAGAATATGATATTCTTGGAAATGTTGGATGGGAGCCATAGAATGATATGATGATAAACATATTTTTAAAAATGTGGATACTTGGTATTGGACTTCTTATCTTACTTACAAAGGTTTGAAGCATTTTGATTCATAGCTGTATCCCTATGAACTTAATACTGAAATAGTGAATCAAAGGCATTCTATTTAAATGTTAACAGAGACAACAACCCAGTAGAAAGGGTCTGGGGAGGGTATGTGTAAGCAGATCTTACCCCTACTTGAAAGTATAGAGGCTGCTTCCAAGATTTCTTTTTAAATGTCATGGTTGATAAAATCCAGATCGATAGCCATAACTGATTGAGGAGATAACAGGAAAAGTTTGTATAATGGGGGTTTCAGCAATTATTTACCATTTTTAGTCCTCAATAAGATACAAATTCATGGCTGGTGTAATTTGTCAGGAGGGCTCAAACTTTGGGAAGGTTCATTAGATCTTGTGAAAACTCTCAACACAGAAATAAAAGAGAAAACGCTGTCATTCGCTGGAAAGAGAGTTTTAGAGGTGAGCTCATAATTCTGTGGTAATTTGTTCATCATCTCCTCTGGAGGCAAAGCTATAATTGCATTCACAGCTTAAAGTGTTAGAATTTGTCTCACACACAACCACACCAAACGCATTAGATTTCCTTTTTTTCATTTCTTTCATGCGGCGTGCAACTATTACAGTATTACTATTTCTAGTATTTGCATCCTTTTTCCTAAATTTCAAATGATGAGATGAACTTCGTGATGTTTGGGTTAATGAGAAAACTCAGGGTCTGTTTAGTTGAGCTTCTGTTTTCGACTTTCCAACTATACTTCAAAACAGTTCTTACTTATTTTAGTTTTCTTATTCCATTGGATAAATATTCTTGTTCCACTTCCAGTTATCTAATTCCAGTTTTCAGTTTCCTTATTTCATTAACAAACTATGTATAGATTTTGTCAGGTTGAGTTGAGTGATATATGAAATCCTTGTGAACATTGATACAGAATCATTATCATTATCATATTTCTGGGTAGATAGTGCTTATAGAAAATAAAGCATCTTTATGGACCGCATGTGTATGCATTGCTTTGACTTGATGCTTTTAATATATCTGTGAACTCGTCTCCACATAAGAAAGCTTGCCATAAAGTTAAAACAAAAAAGTTGAGGGAGTTCCTTAATGATCACACATGTGTCTTGTACTCAATGAGAAAATTCACAAAAAAAAATGGTAAGACTCGTGTTTCCTGGGTGTAACTACATGGTGTTCCGTAGGACTGAGAGCTTGGCAGAAGGGGGATATTTTCCAAATAGTTCCTGCAGATTGGCTGACACAAAAACAGGGTAAGAGGGGTCCAGTCTTGCTTCCGTGTACGGAAGAACAAGAGAGAAGAGATAGATTGATAAATATAGAGAGCTGAACGTATTTTTACTAGAACCCAAACAACCTTTTAGTTACTGGTTTTTATAAAAATGCAATAAACAAAGGTTCTACTCTTATTTTATGAAAACATTTTTTCGGTTCATATTATTTCCCTTTCATTTGCATGGATTCCAACGACACTACACGACCTGAATGGCCGTGCCGGTTCCAATGTAGAACCTTATTTTTGGGAAATTGGGAACGAGGGAGTATGATGTTATCAGGAATGTGTGGTACTTTTATAGCTGTTCTTGTCTTCCATAATGAATGCAACTAATTGTTTTTGTTATGTTTCAGCTTGGGTGTGGTCATGGACTGCCTGGGATATTTGCTATCTCGCAGGTATATGCCTGAATGTGATTTTATTCAAGGGAAAGCTGTGATATTAGTCTCCCAATTGTTCTCCACTTTTCATTTTAGTCACAACACTGGCCGTAGCATAGTTATTATCTATTCTTTTGAGTTCTAACTCTTAACTTCCAACATTTTTAACTCCTTTCAGCTTCTTCCAACTCTTTCCAATTTCTTCCACCTCCTTTCAATTTCTTCCAACTTCTTCCAGTTTTTTCCAACTCTTTCTAGTTTTAACTCGTATTTTTTCCAATTCTTTTCAATTTCTTCCAACTTCTTTCAGTTTTTCCAACATTTGCTTAAAAAAATTAGATGTATTTTTCATGTAATTCTTATTAAAACTATCACAATTATCATTATTACAATTATTATTATTATTGTTACTACGATTATTATTATCAATTTTATTTGAACAAAAAATGAAGGAATGTCACGATTTGTGTAGGAAAAAATAAATTTTGGCTACGATTTAAGTTAACATAAAGTATTACATAATATTACATAGTTATGTTTCTATAAAACAATATTAGCTTGTATTGAATCTTAGTTTCTTAATTACATTGTTGAATATTTACAAATAATTTTTTTATTTTTTAAAAAATAATCTATGTACAATTATACTTTATAAAAAATTCAAATAAAAGTACTATACGCTTTCGTTGAACAAGATTGTCTTAAATAATACGGAGTATACTATATTAAACTTTAAAAATAATGTCACATTTCTTTGAAAAGTATTAGACCATCATAGAATGAAACCAGACCTAATTTTCTAGATCCCCATCCTACCTAATTTAGTTACTCTCTTCAATATAATTGAATCTCACTTAATAATGTATGCTCTTTTTTTCTTCTAAATAATTAAGCCAATTATATCATGTATTGAGATGTACTTATTGGTTATTTTGTAAATATGGATATGTTGGATGTCCAATAAATACTACCTTCGACCCAAAAAAAAGAGTTTGACACTTTGACTTCCAAAAAGTTAAGAAAAGTGTTAAAAAGTGAAAAAATACTCCGTATTCTTTCGGAACAAACAAAAAAAGAAAGAGAAGTTTTTTGCAAGACGAAAAAGAAAAGGATTGATTATTTCTGCCAATTTTTTCTTTCAATTAAGATTAATAAAAAATAGTGCTTCTTTCATTCTACTATTTTTATAACAATGGTTAACAACATACAAATTACAAAACAAAAAATTATACTATTGATATTGATGTATTGTGAAAAGATGCAAGAAAAAGTAATAATAAGCATGAGTCAAAACATATTATTAAATATGATTTGAGACAAATAAAAAGAGAAAAAGATTGAAATGAATTGAGTATAATTTTTTTTAATAAGAATATGAAATTTTAAAAATATAATATATTTTCAACACTTTGTTTTTGCCGACATTTTCCAACTCTTTCTAGTTTCTTCCAACTTCTAGTATTTTCCAACTTCTGGTTCCTTCCAACTCCTTCCGGTTTCTTCTAACTCCTAGTTTCTTTGAACTAGTTTTTTCCAACTCATTTCAGTTTCTTTCATCATCCTCTAGTTTCTTCCAACATTCAACTCTGTTTGTACAACCCAAAATAACATAGCCTTAGTCCCTAATTTTCTTCGAATGTTGCTTTTTGTCTTTCCGTAACCATGCTTAGCTAGTGTCCCACCAAATATTGGTTGTCACCATGGGAGTCAGTTTTTTTTTTGAAAAATATATCACACAAAGCTTAATCCCAAAAACATATACCTCCTATTCAAAATTTTCCATTTAATTACAAGCTTGACTGGTTGCCCCCTGTTTAAGGCATTTCTTTATGGTGGCATTAGGGGGCTGCTGCTGTGCACTTCCAGGATTTTAATGCTGAGGTCTTGCAGCACCTCACCATTCCAAATGTAAAAGCCAACACCCAGCAGATGGCTTTATCATCAGAAAAATGCAATTCTGAGACCGAACTGCGTTACTTTGCAGGGGACTGGAGTGACGTTCATTGTGTTCTACCACACGTACTTCCTGATGATAATGTGGGCCAAACTGTTGAAGGCACTGCTGGTTATGACATAATTCTCATGGCTGAAACAGTTTATTCGATTTCCTCACTCCCCAGTCTCTATAAACTTGTCAAAAAGGTTCCCTTTATTCATGTACTCAGTGTTGTTTTTGGAAATGTTTCTTTACTATGGAGCTGACAGTATTTTCTTCAAATACTCCAGTGCACTTCTAGTCTCCATGGAGTAGTCTATGTATCTGCTAAGAAACATTATTTTGGAGTTGGCGGTGGATCAAGACGATTTGTTTCCATGGTGGAGAAAGATGGTATGTTTTCTAACTAAGATGTTTGGTTTGAACTGGGTTTTGTTGTAATTGGTTCTTTTCTGGAATACAACATTTAATTCTTAGAGAAATGCTTGAAGCCTAGTTACTCAAGTTCATGTTCTCTTTCTTTGGTTTTGTTTTGTTTTTTAATGTTGCTACCTGTTTTTCACATTTGCATCCCCCCGTTCAAAAGGGAATGAGAATTTAAAATAATAGACGAATCAAAATAATGCTTTCATCTTGTAGTATCGTAATGATATTGAGCTCTTCTTTCAACAGGTGTTTTTGGAGCTGTTCTTGTAGCCGAGGTTGCAGATGGTTCATCTAACGTTCGAGAGGTGTGGAAGCTTCATTTCAAGTGAAACCGAACTTGAATGTTTTTAATTGGGGGAATGTTGGAGGTCAAAATATTTGGTTTACCTCTTATTTCCTACTAGAGCTCGAATGATTCAACTCTGGCATCTTTCTCAAGTATCTTGTCCATTCTATGACTGCTGCCTCTTGATTTTCACTTCATATTTTCGAACAGATGAACTTAGAGGCATTTTCAAAATTAGAATTTTTTTAAGCAACTCCTGGAAAAATTGTCTTTGAAAAGAACACCTTATCTTGTTAGTTATGATGGACTTGAACCACCAAACACCCATTTGATATTGATGCTGGCTCAAATTTTATTATTGATGATACATGATTAGGGGATAGTGTTTTTTTGTTGAGGTTCTAGAGGTGGCGATTCATTTCGCACCGCTGGTTGGTGGTGGGCTGGTGGTTGTTGTCTTAGGGGCATACGTTCATTTCTTTTACGGACTTTGTTGTGATCGACTTCAAAGAAGGATGTGAAACTTTGTTGATTCTTAATATGTTGTTCTTAGTTACAGCTTGGGTGGTGATTGATTTTTTCAAGGATTTCATGAAATTTAGAGAAGGCCAAGTTGGCATTGCCTGAGCCAGTTTGGACATCCAAAAGAGATCAAATGGGTATGCAGAGATTGAAAGATGCCTGGACAAGGCAACTCTTCCAAAGGATATTTTGTCTATTTAAAACTTGGAAATTCTCTGGCAATATCGACAACGATGCCTAAGACCCACCTTATTTGAAAAGACATGACGAGCGAGAACGTCAACGAAGGTGTTGGCTACGCAAAGATCGCAGACTCGTGTTGTATCATAGCCATCGTAATTGCATCACCAAAGATTGGTTATCTGTTCAGTAGATGGCAAAAATGGGAACAACTTGTGAAGAGGATGTGGGAGAGATGGTACTCCGTAAATCCATATATATATAATGTTTCATGTACGTCTAACAACGGGTGAATACCTATTCAGTAGTAAATCCATAGTTATTTACTAAAAATGAAAAAAAAAACCCTAAGAAAACTAATTTAGTTCAAAAACATAACAAAAACTAGCCGTCCGTGTTAAAATTAATATATTCAACATGACATCAATAAATACAAATACAATAAAATTCACATTTCAATTCAACACACTAAAGTTTTAAATTTTCTAAAAATTATTTTAATTCGTTTTAAAAATATTTTCAGATCTCTCCGGTCTGGTCCTTTGAATATTTGAAATTTTCTAGCATAAAACCTAGTGTATTCCACATTTGATTCGAAAATTTTAGGGTATTCAAGATTTGAATATCCATAATTTCAGATCAAATGAATGGAATATCCCAAATGAATTTTTATTTTTAGTTTTTGAATATTTATTTTTTTAATGATCTTAAAAAATATCTTGGACAGATTTTTATTTCTTAAAGGAGTAGAACTCAGACACTAGACTTGAATTTAAAGTCAAATGTGTTCTAAATTATCATATTTTCCTTGATAGTATTATCAAAATTATAATTTTATGAATACATGGAAACCAAATTAAATATCCACACAATGAACAAGTTAAATGAAGTATTGGGAAAATGACTAAGAATAATTTTTTATTTGAGCTTTGATTTAAAGATTTATGATGATAAAAATGAATTGAGATTAAGTTATATGAGTTTGGTTTTATATTTATTTTTTAATAAATATACTCCTCTAGCTATATTCACGGAGATCCAAAATTTTAATATTTAATTCCATATCTGATCCAATTTTTTCAGATATCCGATCTGAGAAGCTAAACAACCAGATCGTATATCTATTTTTCGGATTGAATCGCCTCGGAACGTGGACGAATTTTCTGGATTGGTTTTTTTTGAACACTCATACCCGTTGGTGGAAGGGTATGTATGGCGCTTTAGATTCAAAAATATAATACTTACAAAAAATCCTAAAACACAATTAAACAATGGTAGGATTGGTAGGGTTCGGGTGACACTGAAGGTAAAATTAGTGTCATCCGATGACACGATCCAATTAGTGTAGCATCGATAATTTCACCTACTAAGTTTTCTTAAACCCTTCACCCGAGTCTCTTTGGTCGTCGATTCCAATCAGAGGTGTAGGAGGCCGGAGCTAGAGACAAGGAAGGACTGGGTGGAAGATTTAGGAGGTAAGAATATGGTCAATTGGGCTATTGTGATCATCAAATTGTTAATTACTCGAACGTCACCGAATAAACAATGGTCATATATATTTTGGTATGATGTGCTAAGTTGATGTGAGTGGCATGAATCATACTCATATGTCGTCGATCCAGTTAAAAGCTAGAGTCCAAGAAATACATATATAATAATGTGATCATATCATATAATATTCAATTCATATCCCCATCAACTATATATAGAATATATGATCGACGACAACTGCATGCATGCATGATCAAATATGTATGGTGCATATATACAATACATACATTGAAGCACGCAGATAAACCTCGTGTCACTTCATTCTTATCTTGATTGATTATTCTCCATGATAAACATGCACACATTATATATATTATTTGTTCTAAAATCTCCGCCGTTCCTTTCCCGGAGTTGACGACCAGAGAAACCCCCAAACGCTACACAACAACTTAACTTAACTTATTTTTTTAGGTTACTCTCCTTACAGAATCACAATTTATATCTTATTACTCCGTATTATTTTTTTTGAAGGAAATATCTTAACATTATTTGTTGAGTGTGTCTTAATATTATGATATTACTGTACTAATTATTTTTAGAATAATATATGTTCATATATTCTCAACTCATTAAGCATATAGAGTTATTACCCTTACTGGAGATCGAACCTTTGACTTCTCATATGTGAGAGTCAACATCATGCCGCTGGACCACAAGGTCTTTGACAAATTAGATTTATCATTCATATGTCTAGGTATTGATTTTGAGAAATTTAATTATTTAAATAACACTAAAACATAATGATTTTTCCTGAATAGCATCACATGTGTTTTTTTCCCAATGTAGCACTTTTAGTCATTATCCATTAGTCATTATTCAAGTAAATGTTCGCCATCACTGGACATTATTAAGTGCTATATAGGGAATAAACCAATTTAAGTGCTATTTAGAAAAATGACTTAAGTTTTAGTGCTATTTAATGCAAATATTTCATTAATTTTAATCAATTTAATATAAAGCTCAAACTTGTGTGCACGTCCCCTCACGTGAAACCGTTGCTGCTTCGAGGCTTGCACGAGAAACTTTTTGTTTTTTGTTAATTAGGGTGGCGCTGAGTTTTGAATCTGTGACTTTTTAGTCAAAAAGGCTTTGATACAATGTTAAAAAACCAACTCAATTAAAACCTCAAGTTTGAAATTAGGATCCTGGAATTTTTTTTAGATACTTACATGATATTGTCAACCTTATTCTCTTTTCTCGTGTACTATTCTAATAAATCCATTTGACAAACTAATACATTCATTGCACATACTAGTTTTTGTAGAATTTTTTTATGAATTTTTAGTTTATACTTTGTAGTAAATTTTATTTTTCAATTTTATGTTAAATATGAAATAAATTAAATTAATAATAGATTCATTCAAACATTGTAAATCACAACATGAAAAGTTCTTTTTTTATTAAGGGAGTGGTATTACTTACTCCCATCATCCCAAACATATCATTTTAGTTACTATTATTACATCTCGATAACTTATGTTTATTCGAATATTTTCATTAATTACTCGCGTACTCCATACCAAAATTATGAGAAAACTTTCTAGATAATATAGTAAAAAAACTATGAAAATATCAAAATAAGAATTTTAAGTCTTTTGCACACTATCATTGTCACACTGTCATTTGTCACTGCCAGCCACTAGTGTGCCGCCCCGGGCTGCAGGTAATCGAGTGATCACACTACCATATAACATTGTCATCATTTTTTCATCATACTGCCAACACTATCATTGTACTCCTATTTTGGTTTTAAAAGACTTAAGGACTCCTATTTGGTATTTACATTTTTTGCTTCTATCCAGGATGATTTCTTCAAAATTATCGTCATAGTTACTATTTTAGTTTCTTGATAAATTTTGTTTGTTTGCATATTGTTAAAATTCTGGTGGGTCGGGAATAACAAGTTGAATGTCGGGTAAAATTAATCATTTGCATATAAAGTCGTGATCCACTATTCTAACCCTGAAGCTTAAACTGATAGGTAGGGCTTCACCCTTCTATATATTCTAGTAGTATCCATCTTTTATTTTTCCGGTGTGGGAACTCTAGCACTACACTTCAAGTGCTAACCAGCCTGATCTAGTTAGCACTTGGACAAACGGGTTTAGCATCTCAATCTCCTGTACTTAGCCCACACAACAGGCGGTGGCATCTCAATCTCTTTTTAGCCAACTCAACTCAAACCACGGACGGGTAGCTCATTTTTTTTGCTAAACCCACATCCAACAACAAGGAAGAGTCGAATCTTGACCAGACCTATTCTGATACCATGTTAAAATTCTGGTAGAGCGAGAACAACGGGTGGAGTGTCGGGTAAAATTAGTCACTTGCATTAAAGTTGGGATCCACTATTCCAACCCAGAAGCTTAAGCTGATAGATAGAGTTTCACCCTTCTATATATGCTAGTAGTATTAATCTTTTATTTTTTCGATGTAGAAACTCCAACACTGATAGAATTTAGGATGAGGTAAAGATAACTAGATTGAGCCATAAGACACTTGAGCTGAACCACATTAAAAGATTGAATCTAATTGATCACTAAGATCAACTCAAGAGCTTTTATAACTATTATTTTTTCACACTTTTCCGAGGTGTGATACTCTCTAACACTCACCCTCAAGTGGACAACCGAATCATTTTGAATTTAACCGGTTGACCACTTGTAAATGGACTCCCATCTCCTCGATTTTTTTTAACGCCAACACCTAAAGAACTACTATCCGCTGGGTATGTACTTTCAGATGAGCAATCAGGTTAAACAGGCCACAAGTCGCTGGATATACATTCCACACGGATAGCTGGGCTAAAGACTAGGGCCGCTAGGAATGAATGTGTAGACGAACACCTTAACAAAAAAAGTGGGTTAAAATTGGCTCTGATACCATGAAAGAATTTAGGATGAGGAGTTACTAGATTGGTAATAAGACACTTGGGCTGAACCACATTGAAAGATTGAATCTAATCGATTACTTAGTTCAACTCAAAAGTTTATATACCAAATATTTTCTTCATACTTTTTCGAAGTGGGATACTCTCTAACAGATATTTCATAATAAAATAACTTAGGGTTATGCTTGATTGACCCCAACATTTAAATCTCACCCTCTAACCCCAGTCTTATAGACATTACATACACGGAAAAGTATCGAATTCTGTAATGTCTATAAAAACGTGGTTAAAGGAAGGGGATCAAATATTGGGGTTAAAATAACATTTTCCAATAAATGATTCTTGTCACATCTTTATTACTATTCCATCTTTATTGTAATACTTTGACAATCAATTTTAAGACTATGTTTGAAAATACGGCCCGGCTCTAGTGACACTAGAGAACGGTGCCACTAGCGGTGTCGCTGCGTTTTTGGGCACCTCCGGTGCTCCGTTCGTAAAATTGACGGTTCCTACCCCCCTTAACCCACCCCCTAAACCCCCACCCTATCCCCACCCTTGCACCCCCACCCCAACCCCGCCGTAAGCCCTCCACAAAATGTGTGGCTATTATGCAATGCGGGGTGTGGGTGCAGGGGTGGAGGTAGGGTGGGGGGTTTAGGGGGTGAGTTAGGAGATGTAGGAACCGTCAATTTTAAGAACGGAGCACCGGAGGTGCCCAAAAACGCAGTGACACCGGAGTGACACCATTCTCTGGTATCACTAGAACCCGGCGGTTGAAAATAAGTTTATTGTTACTAAATTGGGATATGTTAGGGGTACACCAAAGGTGTACCCCAAATGTACACCACCCCACCTCTTTACCATTCATTTTATTTTGTTTTTATTTTTATTTTTTTTTTAATTTTCTTGCCTTTTTTGTGTGGTGGTGAAGGGGGTGGGGGATGTTTGGGGTACGTACACTTGTGGTGTACCCCTAGCATTTTCCTACTAAATTTATATCAAATTTGTAAAAGTCTAGCACAAAAGTCAAACGGAGAAGAATCAAAATTGGGCATGGAAGGACAGGTAGTCACCCTACCCTACACTTAAAAAGATTTGGTTCTAAAAATGAGGTTTACTCTGAATGCAGTAAGAAACACGCGAAAATGGCAATCTTTCATGAAGATACAGAGAGAGGGAGACAGAGAGAAAACAAATCAAATATGGTGTGTTTGTGGACGAAAAGACACCTCTGTATAGAGACATGGAACCTTCTACTCAATTTGGCTCCATTGGTTCATCCTTTGTACAAAGCTTCGTTCATTTGTCCCAATCTAAGGTAACCCTAAATCCCCCACATCTTCCTCTGAATCAAAACATTCCTTCTCTGCCTTCTGACATTCATTCTCTTTGTACCATGCCTATTTTGGGAATTTCACCACTCTGATGATTGATTGCACATTTTTTGCGGGAAAGGGGAAGAAGAAGAAGATTCTGGGAAGAAAAGTCACTTTGATTTTTTTAGGACACATAATGTGGGGTTTTTGTTGTTTAAAAAGTGGGAAGTGCTGGATTAAGTCCTCAGAGCTCTTTGGTCATTGCCATGGTGGATGTTGATCAGGAGGGCATTATCGGTAACCTGTCTTATAAAAAGAAACTTTTTTCCACTGCTATGAAGAGGACTACAGAATGGTATGCCCAATTCTTGGATTTCTGATTTTTTTTAACTTTTTTATTTGGTTCTTGATCCAAATGGTGACCATATATGTTTTTCACCTCTTTGACAGGATATTTTCCCAGGAATTTCCTAGGGATGTTACCGTTCGTGCTGGAGGGAAATCCTTTTCACTACACAAGGTTCAATACATTATCTTTAGTTTGTGATATCTGTAGGAGTTGTATTATTGGTTGAACAATTGAAAACAAAGTTTGCAGATAGATTTTACTAGGTAAGGGATTCATATGGCATACAACATAAATAACATTGTATAAGTGCCACACTGCTTCTGCTTTTAAATCTTCAATTGCATCCATTACCAATGAAGCTAATTGACAATGCTTTAACTTCTGATAAATATTGGAATGAAAAACAACAACAACAAAAACAAATACATGGTTTTCATATGTGTGCATGAGTAGTGTAGAGGTTAGAAAGGCTTCTTCCGAAACACCCTTAATCAAAAGGATAAAATGACAGTAGGCATCCTATAATTTTTACTTTCTATGAAGTTTTGGATAGTAAATGTATCCATGCATCAAGGTTCTAACATACCGTGCAAAAAAGGTTCCAACATAAACAACTTTCCCGTTTTTACGGGAGTAAGTGGTTAACACCCTGATCCCAACAAAGCTGGAACTATATTGTCATTTATTGTGTTTTATTCTTGGTTTGTTGTACTGTAGTCTGTAGTGTACATACCTAACATCAATAAGGAGTAAATAAGCGTAGTTGTGCATGCTTGTTGTCAATATAAAGTAAATAAGTTTAAACATCAAGTTATTTATCTATGTGATCCTTATTTTGACAATATCCTTCTTTGACTTTTTCCTATTTTTGTGGTTTTGATCTTATATAGACACTATGATTTATTTTGAATTATAAACTTCATTATTTATTTAGATTCTTATCTAATTATCATAGTAACTTTATGAAATGGAGTTTTAAATGATTTATAGTATAAAGCAGAGTTTATCCTAATGAGGGACTAAAACATCACTCAAATAAGAATTAAGGACTGAAAGCTATACTAATAGTTGAGGAATCAAATTATTGTGTCACCAAAATTATCATTTCCCTATATATTTTTTTTACTAGAAGTTCTTAACAGGTTTTAACCAATTCGTCCCCAACATAGTTTGGATTATACTGGGTTTGTTGTTGTTGAGTTTTACCAATCCTTAATCCTTGCTAACCAGTTTCTTGCACGCCCAAACAGTTTCCTTTACTGTCAAAGTGTGGGTACATAAGGAAACTGGTGAATGAATCCACCGATGCTGATATTTCAAAGATTGAAATCCCAGACATTCCTGGTGGAGCAGAAGCGTTTGGGCTTGCTGCAAAGTTCTGTTATGGGATTTGGTTCGAGATAAACACAACGAATATTGCAATGCTTAGATGTGCAGCTGAGTATCTTGAGATGACTGAAGACTATGCGATTGGAAACTTGGTGGGAATGACAGAGGCCTACTTAAGGGAAGTGGCACTCAACAGCCTTGCAGGAGCAGTCTCCGTTTTGCATTCATCGGAAAGCCTTCTTCCCATGGCAGAGAAAGTAAAACTGGTGAGCCGATGTGTGGATCGTATTGCATACATAGCCTCCTCCAAAGATGGCCAATTCTGCACCGAAGATATGACCGACCTTAGAATTGACTTTTTCCAACGGGTTCTAGTTGCAATGATGGCAAGGGGCGTTAAGCAGTGTGCGCTTGGACAAATACTAATGCTTTATGCTCAGAAAGCTCTCCAGGGTTTGGTGAGATTCTGTTGTTTTTCATATTTATGAGTAGTGATATAGCCAAATTACTAGATATGGAGCTAATGAGCCCTTTTCGTAGGCTTCGTTCTCATCTCATTGATCACCCTTAAAAATTTTCACCAAAAACTAAGTGCCATTATGCAGACATTTTTTAAAGAGCTTATGAGCCTCTTATTGATCAGGTTTTTTATGAATTACGAACTCATCTCACTGTGCTAGCTTATCCAATGATGATGGAAAAAGTAATGCAAAAGGTGCTGTTGGACTTATATGAATGGATATGACTGTTCAACCTGCAATTTAAAACAATCATTTCTTTAATTTTAGAAATGTTTTAAATGACTTTGCAGATTTACAAATTTTCAACAGTTTCTGCTACTTTTGCCATTTTAGGTCTGACCAAACTCGTTCTAACTTACGTCACTGTGTTTTGTTCCACCTCCATCCATGACTTCAGCATATCCAGTCACTCCAGCACTTTTAAGCCTTGCCAAACGGGCACATGACATTAATTCGGTTTTTGATGGTAAAGTAACTGGTTTTCTTTGCTGTCATAGGAAATGTTTGGACATGGGACAAAGAAAACAGAGGCAAGAGAGGAACACGAGAAAAGGGTTGTTTTGGAAACAATAGTTAGCCTTCTGCCAAAGGAGAGGAATTCACTATCAGTTAGCTTCCTCTCAATGCTCTTACGAGCAGCAATATTTCTGGAAACAACGGTTGCTTGCAGGCTTGATTTGGAGAAGAGACTGGGCTTCCATCTTGGGCAGGCTGTCGTAGACGACTTGCTAATCCCTTCATATTGCCTCAGTGGGACCACATTGTTTGATGTTGAAACCGTGCAACGGGTGATGATGAATTTCTTGGAGTATCAACTTGAGGGAAGCCGTTTGTGCTTCCATCCAAACGAGGAATATGTTGCTCCATCTCCTAGTGACATGGAGCGCGTTGGGAGGTTAATGGAGAATTATCTTGCTGAAATAGCATCTGACCGCAATCTTTCTGTTTCAAAGTTTATTAATCTTGCTGAACTCATCCCAGAACAATCAAGAACCACTGAAGATGGCATGTACAGAGCCATCGACATTTACCTGAAGGTATATAAGGCTAGATTTTCTCATATGAAACATAGATTTTCTTATACCACCTCACTAATTGTTGGATTACCCGTTTATTATTTATACATTTTAACACCCTCAGTCCCTTTATAATGGTCTTTCCATTAACTTATAAAAGTGCGACATTTTAACTTGGGAAAGATCATTTTGTCGGGGATGGAGGATGTATACATCTTAACACATGATTACTGTGGAGAACTTATATGAGTTTGCTATGCACAATGTTGAAGGCGCACCCTGCATTAACTGATATGGAGAGAAAGAAAGTGTGCGGCGTAATGGATTGTCAAAAGCTCTCTCCTGAAGCGTGTGCTCATGCTGCCCAGAATGACCGGCTTCCTGCCCAGACAGTGGTGCAAGTGCTTTACTATGAAAAACAACGCCTTGGGGAGGTGATGAACTCCAGCATCATTAGCGACAAATGTCCCACTCTCCCTTCCAAAGGTACAAGTGAGTTCTGCCCAGACATCCACCCGGTCTCAGACGAGCTGTCGAGTCTAAGGAGAGAGAATCACGGCCTGAAGATGGAGCTTGTGAGGATGAGAATGCGGTTGAAAGAAATGGACGAGTGTTCGGATAAATCGTCTCTGAGAATGGCTCATTCATCTGCTGACAGGTCTCCTCTTCCTCGGCCTTCGTTCATTAGCTCAATGTCCAAGATGTTTGGAAAACTTTCTCCAATCACTTGGAAGAATGGCAGAAACAAAGCGAGTAGAAACAGGCAAAACTCCATTTCATAAGTATGTTTCTTCTTTTTCGCCATTCCCAGGCATTTGGTCAACCGTGATTCACTTTTCAGTCCAACGGTTGAGCACTTAGACCGTATTACACTCTCTGGTCGACCGTATTACATTCTGCCACGCACATAGTGACGCTTCTTTCAGGCCCACATGCAGCCGAGCACTTGGAACACACTTTTTTTCCCGGTCAACCATCATCCATTCTGCCCATCCTATGGTGGTTTGGCTACCTTTTCATTTCCAGGGCCCCTTCAACCTTTTTGGGACAATCTTGTGTACAGTTCATTCAGAAGCAGTTTTCCTTGTTAGTATCCTTAGTGCTGTTTATCATATTTTAGGCATTTTGTCCTTAGGTTTTAGCTTTTCAGGTTCCTGCTTGTGTTAGAGGCGAGGTTTATGTCCTCCTCTACTTGTATCTTTTGCTTTATTACTAAAGATTTACTTTTCAGAAAGAAGAAAAAAAAAGGTTCTCACTAGTGCAGGAAACACCTGCACATCAACTCTTCTGCTTCTAGATCCTTTCATACTCTTGGATAAAAGACTCGTGAAGGGCCCAAACAAAGTCTGCTCCAATTTGCGTTGGATAATGTACAATCATGAGTATGTTTATTTTTGTGATTTCTATCACACATTGTCTTTTAGGTTTTAGTAATGATTAAAGACCAACATCATTTGAGTATCAAGGCTACGAAAGAAGTTGATTCAAGAGTTACAAAGAGCTTATCAAACCTGCATTGAAGGAACACTTTGGATGTTCAAGAGCGAAGACTTTGTTACCTTGGTTGGGGAGTCTTTTTGGGTCTTAGAATGTGTGCCAAAGAGTATGACATCTCTAAGTTTCAGCCCTTCATAACCTCCTTTGAAAACACCTTTTGGTCAAGCCTTTACTTCCAAAATTTGTTCTTCTATCCAAATAAGGTTGGTAGTGAAGGCTCAAGCATGGTCGTTCGGGGACTAGATATAAACATTAGGCCGAACCTGTATATATCATTGTACGTGTTCCTTGTTATTTTTCTTCACTCTCTTTCGTTTGTGGTGCATTTGTTTTAATCAAGAATTTGTCAAGAATGCTTCCACTAAAAATCAATCATTTGAGCTATACCTCTATTCACTCCTCCTCTAGAGATGTACACAGTGTCTAACAATTTTTTCATCATAGCATAGACAATAGTTGGAAGGCTTTGGAAAGTGTTCTCTAGGTTTAGTTTAGGGGGATTAGATTTAACTCGTACCGATGTACGAAATATTTTAGTTCAATATGATATATATGTCATATTATTTCCGGTGGGGTCCTAGTGACACAAGAGTTCGGTGACACTCCGGTGCCACTGTCATTTTGGAGCACTTCTGGTGCTCCGTTCGTAAAATTGACGGTTTCTACCCCCTAACACACCCCCTCCCCCCCACCTTACCCCCGCCCCTGCACCCCACCCCAACCCCGTCGTAATTCCCACACAAAATGTGTGGTTATTATGCAATGCATAATAGGCACACATTTTGTGGGGGGTTACGGCGGGGTTGGGGTGGGGGTGTACGGGCGGGGGTAGGGTGGTGGGTTGAGGGGTGGGTTAAGGGGATAGGAATCTTCAATTTTACAAATGGGATGTCGAAAGTGCCCCAAAATGACAATGACACCGCTAGTGTGACCAAAAGTGGGGGTCACTAGAACCCCACTGTAGCAATCTCGATCCAAAAATATCAATTTAGGATGGTTCGGTATCTGTTTCGAACTTATGTTACAAATCAAAATGAATACATACATATATACTTTAAACTTAAACCCTTTGTTTTTTTAAAATAAGTGAGGGTGCATTTAAAATTATGATACATAAAAAATTAAAAAAAATTAAAAATTCATTTACAAAAGATGTTTATTAAACTTAGTCTATATTTCATAAATAAAAAAGAATAAATGATAACAACCTATTATTTCTATTGGTTCTTAATGTTTTTAAATTTATCTAAAGAAAATTAGAACTCAAACAAAATACGGCCAAATAGAAAATGTATTCCTGTGGTTTGGAAAATAGGCACTAATACTGTCCCCCTATTTTCAAAACTTATTTTCAAAGTCTTCGTGGTTTCAAAATTTTGCACCTATACCCTCTGATTGTATTCCGGGCGAAGAAGGAGCATTACTTCCTATTTTCCAAACCATAGGGGCACTTATGCCCATTTCTTATTTTTCATTTATTTTTTTTCCCTTTTTTCATTTATTTGTTACTTTTATTAACCAAGGTTTTTTAATTTTTTTAAAATTGTTTTTATAATGTTCTTAAAATTTAAAATTATTTTTGTTTGAAAAAAATAACTAACACATAGCAGTTGCATCTATACGTCTCAAATTAATAACTTCTATTTTTTGTTTTCTGAAAAAAAAAAGTTAAAACTTTTTTTGAGAACTTTAAAAATGGGGGAAAAATAATAAATAAAATATAGCAAAAAATAAAAATGATTATCCTTTTTGGACATCCTAATTCTAGGGACTTTTTAAGCGTTCTGAAAATTCCTTCTTGTATAAGACTCTTTTTGCATGTTTCAATTTTTTTCATTTTGTTTTTTCATAGTTTTTATTTTTAATTTTATTATGGATTTTCTTTTTGAACTAACCAAAAAATTATTCTAAAAAACAAAAAAGTGAAAACACTATTCGAGATAGATGGATATATATTAGTTTTTTTATTTTTACTTTAATTTCAGAGATAAAGAATTTTGAATTTTTAAAAACATCATAAAAATTGAAAAGAAATTTAAAAAACATTTTTGGAAAAGAAAACAAAGAGATAAAAAAGTGTTTAAAAAAAAGAAAACACCAAAATAAAAAATAAAAAATAAAAATGGGCACAAGTACTACTTGTGGTTTGAAAAATAGACATCAATGCCCCATCTTTATCATAAAATTACTGAAAAATTATCAGAGGGGTTGTGAGTATAACGTTTTGAAACCATGAGAACTTTAACAATACGTTTTGAAAAATGGTATTGGTGCCAATTTTTCAAACTACACGGGGCATTGAAACTATTTGACCAACAAAATACAATTTGCACATAATAAAACTTAGATGTACTTGAATTAAACTTATTTCATAAACTAGAGAAGTGCTTGAGATGTTGTTTTTCAAAACTAACCATGGAATAAACTTAAGAATTATCATTATTACAGATCTATTTAGAATAACAAACCTTGCAGAGGTGTAATATATATATATATATATATATATATATATAATGCTTGAATATTCAACTATTTTGTGTGTGTGTGTGTAGTTCTAGGTGGTGTGCGTGTAGTAGAAAACAAAATAATTGGGAGGCGGCCCTCTTTTGGTCCAAATGGGGAATCTAATGTCGAGTCGGTGGCGGATAAAGCTCAGTTTTTTGTAATCGCTTCTGCTTCCATGTGGGTGTGTGTATACATAGGAGGACTATAGGCTGGCCAACGAAACACCCTAATAATCTATATAAACATTTGGAACTGAATTTGGTTATATGTGGCCCAACTTGTTTTGGGAGATCAAATTAAATTACGGACTATAAATAAATCTATTTAAGTACTGTTTGTCCATAAAAATAAAATCCATTTAAGCTTTTTGCGTGTCATTTATTTTTTGTGAGTGTGTGACATGTTCTTGAAAATCTTCATTGGAGTATTTTTTTTAACCCCTAATGACCTGTCAACTCGTGTCCAGTGCAATGAACCTTAATTGTGATTGACATCCGAGATTCTCCTTTATTCTTAAATTACACCGTCGTCACAAGTGTTGGTGCGTTAACAAAAATTTACACGGACACAAAGTCTTGGTGCGTTAACAAAAATTAGTTTTACACCAACACAAAATGTCGGTGCAAACCTGCGGTGTACAACTGGGGTACAAATAGCTTTATTCTTCAAAAATATTGGTGATCGTAGTATCATCGGTTATTTTATCTAACTAAAATTTACTTAGAATGAGAGAGAATTTTAATATACATTGTTAACGAGTTCGGAAGTACGAAGTACACGTTCATTCATCGATATTACAAATTCTATAGCAAGGGTCTAAGAGGCAACATCCCCTGACCGGGGTCGGAAATAATGAACATTTATATGTACAAATCAATACATTCGCATATTGCATTTATCCACCGCATCATGTGGGAAACTGCTTGATACATTCAAATGTTTGAACCCAATACAAACATTTGAATGTTTCGTAATAAGTTGCAACAGGTCGCACCTAATTGCAGAAGTAACCGTTCTACACAATCCGCCATTAAACATTGAATGTTAGAGCACCGACATTTAAATGTTACCCAAAATTTAGTTATTTCATCAACCAACGTGTGCGATCAAAGTTTACCTATAAATATAGCACATTGGTATGTTTCTAGATACAACTGAATTTTTCATACTCGTTCTAGATTAATTACGTCTTATTCGATTAAAGTTTTTTGATATACCCCAAAATAACTTTAATTTGAAACCGTTTATACGCGTTGCTAAGTCTATCAAGTCGTTCTTCACGTTCTTCGCATACCGATCTTATAACGCTGCTTCGCAGCATTGTTATCCCTCCCGATTCCGCAACAAAGATTAAAGTTAGTAATAATTTATGTTATCCAACATAAATTAGTAATCCAACTTGGAGAAAAGAATAAAGATTGAATTTTTAAAAGGTCATTTATAATATATTTTTATCAAATTAGTTTTAATAAATTATAATTATTTATTTTGGTAGTACTCTGTAACAAAAAGCTTATCAAATGAGTGGATATTTTTCATCATCAACATCATTAGAAAGTTCTTAAGGGTCCGTTTGGTATATGGAATTGACGGAATTGGAATTGAAATTCTATTGGATTCAATTCCATAGAATTGAATTCTACCAATTCCTATTCATTTTTTGCACTAAGAATTCCAAATTCACTTAACTTTTGTGCTACTAAACATCAGAATTGGAATTGAAGTCCTCAATTCCAATTCTATAATTTGAATTCCCTATACCAAACGGAGCCTAAGAGTTAAGACAATGTTTTCTATTTAGATGTTTATCCAAACCACCCCTGTGGTTTATAATTATAACTTCGCCCCAATTGTTAGAGGATTATGTAATTCTTTTTTAAATTCTAAAGTATGATATAGGTAATTACTATTTATTAAGAATTACCGAGAGAAAATGTTTCAACTATGAATTACTATATAAGTAATTATTGCCTATTAAGGACCAATTTGAAAAAAGTGTCTTATTTGAATAGACCATTTTGAGAATTCACTCAAGAATAAAATAAAATATTACGGAGTATAAAAAAGAATCAAAATAGGACATTTATATTTTTATCTCTTAAATAAGAC